GGCGGGTTTTGAATGTCTCCAGAGAGGGAGACTCCACAACCTCTCTGTGATCTTATGTGTCAGGCACTTGCTGTTTTTTATAGTTTTACATAATCACAAATTGAGTTAAAAGTGTCTCTGGTAGAGCATCGAAGTTAGAGAACTTGGTTTCTGTAGCTCTTCATGGGGTTTCTTACATGACCACGAGTGTATTGTTTATTCTGAGTGGAGCTTGCAATGCTGCTTATGATTAAGGCCACGTGACATAAGATTCAGTTCTCAATTGCTCGTAACTTAGCCAGACCTTAAGTGTTGAGGCTAAAATTTTTCATCCTAAGTATGGAATAAAGTAAAAAGAAAATGTGGGTTTGGTCACTGGCAAAAAGCAATCATTTGTAGCACCATTTGTGCTCTAGAAGAGCACGTCAGGCATGGGGACTTCTTTTGTCTCATTAAATCTTCTGGCTTTCCTGCTGGGGACCATGCAATTTGAAGAAAGGACAGGAAGCTGAGTGCCAGAAGCAGCAGGGGCTCCCTGGGGTGGCAGGGAGCAGGGCAGGATGGGGGACACCAGGGCGGCACCAGGCACCTGCCTGGGGATGGGGACAGGTTGGGGATTTGGTCTGCTTTTTGAAAATGGCGCAGGCTGTGTTATGGAGACTGTTGATGGGCTGCATCTTTATTTTCTTTAAGGTTGTGTGGTGTGAGCTGTACTGAAGGCAAGATAAGGGTTTTCTGTAATAGCGTGTTGAGTGTCATCTTCCTCTCAACCAGGGCATTAAGGAGCAGCTGCAGATCTTCTTCACTTTCATCTTTTTTGCTTATGACAGTGAGCCAAAATTCAGCATAGTCTGCTCAGAATTACCATGATTACCAAGGTCTGGTGCCCAAGATCTGAGCCCTGAAAACATGTCTTAGACCGTTCCAACTCGTAATTTCAAATACTTGGGTCAAAAGAATGGGTAGCTCCAGCACTTGGGTTCAACTCTTGAATATCATAGGTTTGGGTGGAAGTAGGGGAGGGGGAGCAGCCAGGTTGTGAGACATGAGTTGGCTGAAACTGAACTGCAAGTGTGGGACAGGGGAAAAAGTAGAGATTACGTTTTTCTTAAGTGTGCTTACAGCTTGCCAGTCTGTTTGCTTCTTAGCTTTGTTGGTCGCTTTTGAAGTCTGCATTTTCTTTTGACAACAGGACAATTGCAGCCAGGGATGGTTAGCTTGAGAGCTTTGTCTAAACATGGGAATACTGACAGGAGATACTTCTGTACAGCACTTTTGACTCTGGACATTCTGCTTGGTTATCTGCTCTGAGAAAGCAAGGTTGTCCCAAGTTTGGTCTGTTCAAGCTGTCAGAGTATTTTGGACAACTCAACTTTTCTTTCAAATCTTTAAAAGAAGATGTGGTCAATGTGCCAAAGATAGAGGAGAGTTAATAGTTACTTGGCTGGATTGACTTTGTCTCAGATGTACTTGAAATAACTTCTTCTATTGCAATCCAGCTGGGGACTTAAATACACAACTCAATCAAAATAAATGATGTTAGTTAAGTCGTAGAATGATCTTAGCTTCGTATCTTTCAACCTGTCATATTTTAAGCTCAGGAGAGAAACATTTTCAGTCATTCACAATTAAGAAACAGTGCTTTGAGAACATCACCTTGCACAAATCTATAAATCATAGAATCATAGAACAGTTTCAGTTGGAAGAGACTTTCTAGATCATCTAGTCCAACCTTTGCCCTAGCTCTATCACCACTAAACCATGTCCCTAAGTACAACAACTCCCCATCTCTTAAACCCCCCCAGGGATGGTGACTCCACCACCTCCCTGGGCAGGCTGTTCCAATGCCTGACAACCCTTTCAGTAAAGAAAGGCTGATATCCAGCCTGAACTTCCCCTGGTGCAGCTTAAGGCCATTTCCCCTTGTCCTATCGCTTGTTACTAGGGAGAAGAGACTGTGTGGCTCTCTAATATTTAAAATTTCTTTTACATCCAATTAATTTCTGTGTTTGTTTTACATCCAAATAAGGAGAGGCATAAAGTGAACTTGCCACTTTTTCAATTACAGTGTGGTCTGAGGAAATGTAATATTAGGTATAATCAGACCACATGGTCGAGTATTTTTAATGATCATGAGATAATTGAATTTACTGAATTGTCTCAGCCCACACTGTTCTGATACTATTAACTTGCCTTAAATCGGCTGAAGCAATGTGATGCACAGCAGCTATGTTCAGTAGCATTGTGGTCATTAATAGTTCATTATATTTTTTAATTCAGATTACCTGTTAGTTTACTTATTGTAAATGCAGTCCTAGACTAACAACTCATAGTCCTCTGTGCTGCTGCTGAGTAATCTACTATGGTGATACTCCCAGGTATAAGAACAATAAAATAAGATAAATTAAAATAAAATAAAAATTAATATAGAAACGTATGAAGTAGAAATTTTATGAAACATTAGAAGTTTTAGGCACAGTGAAAGAGTATTCTGTAGGTGAGTTTTATATCCCCCAGAGAAGACCTATGAGTTGATACCATTTTATTTTTTTAAAGTAGATTATAGAACAACTAGAAAATTAAAATCCCTTAAGCTGTGCTGAAAGGACGTCTGAGACAGAATAGCCTAGAAAGTTTCTCCACAGACAATGGGAATGACATTGCATTGCAGTGTGCCATAGTGGAGAGAATGCTTTTATTACAAATTTCAGCAGCTTTTTACTTTTTCTATCAAGGAATGTTAGCCTGGTGTTTTGGTTTCAGTGATTTCATTGGAGCTTATTGTTTGTGCCACCTGATGATATGGTACACAATGGTTAGCATTGCCTGTAAGGGCAATATTACTATGAAGGTTATTGTGAAGATAATTAATGCCTGTCATATGCTTTGTGTACGTGTGTTTGTGTGTAATGATAAAAAGTTTGATGACAAAGTTCTTTTAGCTTTCATTGTTTAAAGCTGGAAGGCATGACAAAGTGCATACTTAAACATTCTGCCAGGTACTTATTCATTGTGAGAGGTTTGAAAATGAAGCTCCAAAATACTTCTTTAAAAATTCAGAAAAGGAATTGTCAGTACTGAAGTTATAAATTAATTATACACCTGTCTGCTTATATTTTCATCAGCATTCTAAAAACTCAAGAAGTTGACAGGAGAAAGATGTTGCTTGAGATGCATGAGCTGTAATAAGCTGTTACAGGACAACAGGAACTGCAGCCTGTAGAAAAGGAAAAATTCGTAACATCACCTGCAGTCCTGTGTGAATACCAAGCAATTAAATGCAAGGAATGAGTAATAATTCTGCATTTTAAATGATAAACAAACTAAAAATCATTTTCTGTTTGATTCTTCAGAACTCTAAGATTGCCACACTCGTAATGCTTTTAAATTTTTTTAAGGGATGGCTTTTACTTAAAGTGCAAATCAGCTTGTTTCATGGGAAAGAGGGAATAAGCTCTGTTATAAATACTGTTTGCTGTGCATTTGCAAAAAGGAAAAAAAAAGTGGCCTCCCAATTTATTAAAACCAGAATATACTTTTTCTTTTCCTATCTGTTTAAAGGGTACTGAATATACTCAACGGTTGTGACAGGTTATTTCTCCCACTGGTGTTATAACAGTTGCACACTTGATTAGGGTGATGCATCATATTTCTCTGCTTTGCTAGAGCTCCTGATATTAACAGGATGCAGGAACATGTTTCTGCAAAATACTGAGATGAGAAGCTGAAGGCCTTCAGCTTACATCATCTTTCAGATGATTAGATCTGAATGACATTATTGTAATATTTTTTGCATAATAATATGTCAGATTTATGCTTGCTTGGAGGTTCTTACTCAAATCCTTGATTTATTTAGCTTTCCTAATAACACAGAGAAGAATATATTATGTGTTATATATGTGACATAAGGCACAAGGACTATGTATAAAAAATTAACTTGATGGTTAAAGTTATGATTAATTTTAGTTTTCAAGAAATATAAAAGTTGTGAAGAACACTGCTTTTTAGTGTTGTTACTTTTGAAATACTGCTTCGTGATAATGGTAGTTCAGAACTCACCAAATGTTATGAAAGTCTCCTAAATAGCCTGTGTAGAATATTTTAGAGTCTAAATTGATTCGAAAGTAATGCTTATAATAAGAATGAAAGGAAATTATTCTTCAACTGCTATATATGTGACTGTGGGTAAGATTTTCATGAGGTAGTAATATTTAATTGTACTGACTATAAATGGATACACTTTCTGAATGGTAAATAAATAAATATGTAACAGCTTGTGACTAGTATTAATCTAAAATGAACAGCTAGTAAAACTCTCAAGAAATTTGTATAAATGTTTTAAAATAAAAAATTTAAAATTCAGTGTATTTTTATTTTTTATATGCCTACACTGTAGTTTAAATAAACGATTTGTGTCATATCACATGTGAACCGGACATAGTATCTCATTTATTATACTCCATTTGCAGCAAAGATGCTTTGGAATTAATCTCCAATTTCTGCAATTTTTACTATAAGTAGCTTTTATTAATGCTAATTATAAAAAAATGGAGTTGGTAAGAAAGAGCATATTTCGTTTTCTTCACTCAAGCAATGTTACTGCTGGATGGGTGATCTGTTGCATGATGCTACAGCAAATTGTTTCAATAGGATGTTTGCAGCAGAGCACTGAGTAATGTAAAAGTTTAGGTTCTTATTTAATTGTACATGACCATTTTCAAGTGTCAAATGTTCCTTTTTGTTTAAAACTGTTAATTCAGAATGGACTAACAGAGGAGGAAATTTTATTAACTCACAATATGAAAACACCCATTTGTAACAAAACAAATTAGTTCATTTTGGAAATTCATCTGTTACAATAAGATTAAGTCAATTGGTTTATTAGGTTTGTGAAACCTTTTTTAGTCATTGTTCAGACTGGAGGAGATGCAACAAGAATCTTCACTGCTTAGAAGTTTCCGTTAAAGACTAGCAGATTTTTTTGTGCCAATTCATTGAAGTTTTTGTTTCATGTCTTGCAGGTAGTGCTGTATCCAACATCCAATAGCCCGAAGTCACCTGATCTGCATAAAATGATAGTCCCCAAAAACAGCCAGGACAGTGAATTGAAAATTAAACTGGCAGTGAGAATGGATAAACCACCTCACATGAAGCACTGTGGGTAAGTGTCCGTTTTCTGGCTATTTATTATTTTGCCTCATTATACCTGTGTTTAAGCATATGTAGGTAAAAACATAAAGTTTGTAACACATTATAAATGTGTACAGTAGTTCCTATAGTATGGCATTGTGTTATATCCTCTTTTTATACATAAAGTTTGGAATAGTCAAAAATAACTTTCATTTCAGATGTTCAATGATGTGTAAAGACAGATGATGAGCTAACTCAGAAGTGAAAGAAATGAGAGTACAGTGTCATTTAGAAACTGATTTTGAATGTTACAATTTCTAGCACTTTTGGAAAAAAAGTTGGTATTTAGGAGAAACGTTTTTCCATTAAAATAGGATTAGTTATGTACCTGAATGTGATAGTACTTGCAACATAGTCTCCCCTTTTCTTTCTCTGTCCACTGTATGGTATTTCTCTTGAAAGGAATTTATGTACAAATATCAGTTTAAGGATGGTTTTTTCTGTCTAACACTGAAACTATATGGAGTAGTTTATTCATAAACACAGCTCCTGTACCCAACTGCCACCTCTATTCCTTATCCCAACTGCAAAATCAGGTAGTGTTGCCGACAGTGAGCACAGCTGTATCTGTTGTTATAAAGCAATTACCAGGGCTGTTTCACATCCTTTTCACTTCTTCTGAATTAAGTAGAAGTATACTTCAAAAAAAAGAAGACTATTCAACATGTTAATGTAGAGTTAATGTAGTGGCCATACTGTCTAGATTTTTTTTAATCTTCTCATGTTAATATTCTGCTCATTGTATACAGACAGCAAGTGCCAAAATTTCCTATATTCAATACGTTAAAAAAAAACCAACACAACCTATTTAAGTTTTGGCAAAGCTGTAATTCGTTGGGCTGAAATTTCCCAAGTATCAACCTCAGCCCTCATTTTGATTTTGGGAAACTTAGACACAAATGATCGGGACTGTAACAATGAGACTTGCTGGCTGGAGACCTGTGGCTGGTGACTGGGACCTGCGAAGAGAGAGAGGGAAACCAGTCATGGAGCCAACGTGGGAACTGGAGCTACAGTGCTTGGAGACTGGGACTGAGATGAGAAAATTTACAAGTAGGGATTGAAATACATGAATAAGGGAAATGGGATGTGGCAGGAGAGAGCAGGAAGACTGAGCTGACGTGAGTAAGTTGGAGTGGAGAGGACCTAGGGAGGAGAGAAAAGTGCTTGTCTGTACTAAAGCATGATGGCCCATTTGTTTGCACTCACCAAGCACTTCTGAAATGGTTTGGTAATTGTGGCCCATCCTTGTCTAGATTCAGTCCGCTAGCATGGTTTCAGTCTCCTGCTGCTGGAAGGTATTTAGCCAGTTGAAGCAGTGAACTGCAGGGGTGGTGTGTCAAAAGGCAGCCACAGGAACGGGATGACTTGAATAACATCAGTAATGAATAATACACAACAGATGCATCTAACTTGCACGTGACCTGGTTTGGTTGCGTACTCCACACTACAGCTTCATCAGGGATGTTGTGCTCCCATGCATCTATCCCAACAGGTGACTGGGAGAAGTCCACATTTTTGGTCAGGTTGCTGATAATGTTGGGGTCAGGCTGCCTGCAGCCCCAATTACGATATAGCATGCAACTTATTTTGACCTGGGTCCAGCAACAAGGACAAAGCTCCAGTGCTTCCCCCCATTGTGCTCCTGGGTTTCCCCAGAGCCTTCCTTGGCTGTGAGTGGTTCTTCTGGTGTCTTCAGAGGAACTTCCTGACCCCCCAGTTTGCTTTTCCATACTGGTTTATGTGACTAGTCTTCTTGTCTAAGCATTAAATGGATTGCCCAATACAATATTACTTTCGATAATTTAATTCAATCATCCCTTTCATCTGCTGCTGCTGGTTACTCCCTCACATCGATTTTGAATCCTAATCTCCTGGAACAGTTGTTTACTTCATTTTACTTCAGCGTCACTGCTGTCACTATTCTCCAGGCAAATATTGTTGTTCTTCCTACCAAAAATGCTCGAGGTCAGTCATGATTTCCCTTTCTTTATAGCCATTAGCTATAATGATTAATACCTACACAGTCATCTAGAAAAGTTAGGGCACTGAGGGAGGGCTGTATGGACTCCTCCACCATAAATATATGTGAAATGAAATAAAAGGTTAATAATTCGTCCAATAACCATTGAAAGGGCTGATGAAACACTCTGTGATGGCACTAGAGTTGCAGTGAGAGAAAAGAAGAAGGTATTTGTTTGGAGGGGAAGAAAAACCTTCTAGAAGAATTATTAATGTCTACAATCAGGAACTGTTAGTGTTAGGAAAAGCTGACATCCAGGCACTCTTTGCAGCCTTCTCTTGACTTCCTGGGTGAGTATAAGTATTAAGTGGTCATTTGCTATTTTTTCAAGAGGGACTCCCACCTGCTTCAACACACAGATTAAAGCTGTTCTGGTTCTGAACTGATAAGGTGTTATCAGAGAAATCCTCATTTGTGAAGAGGCTGGAAACACGTGGTGGATGATGGACAGTATAATGGGAAGGCAAAGGCATTTTGCAGTTGAGGTAGTTGAGGGATGTCTGAAAGAACTGTCTTTTATCCCTGTTTGTGCTGCACAGAAGGACCTGCGTGTAAGAGACTGAAACATTTCCACCTATATGGTGGTATGTTATTTGTTTCCTGTGCCCAGTTTGATAAACTAAAATCTGATTTCATAGAGGTGCCTGACACTCACAGCTACTAGCTGAAATCAGTGGAAACTGGGCTGTAAATATGCATTGTGCTGTTAGAGTCCAAATATCCTAAAAATTAGATCTTCGTCTTAATAGCTGAAGCCTAAAGTTTTTAGTACTTCAGTTCTCCCATTATGAAGTGAGAATAATACCACCTCCCAGTGTCGTAGACATTTGAAGGTAAATTTTCAGAAGCAGCTGATAGAAAAGGTTCCTGCATACCTCCCAAGTTGAGGGAAGTGGGGCATGGTCACTTCTGTAACACATGGCCAAAGGCTTATGCTCTGTTGGGCAGTGTTATTGTGGTGCCAGGCTCTGCAGCTTCCCTGGTGAACTTGCACAAGGTAGAAAACCAAATAACTTGAATCTGTCTGTAAACCAGCATTTGTGTAACATGCAATGAAACAGGCCATAGGAGAAAATAAAGTGTTGAAGAGCTAGAAGGCAGCTGCTGCTATCCTGAACAGTGAAAAAGGTTGGGAGGTTTTGGGTTATTTTATTTTATTTTGGGTTATTTTATTTTTCGTATGTGGTACACAGAAGGGGAGGAAATAAGAGGATGGAAGAATATGATCATCCTTGCAGCTGGAATTTCGTCATGTTAGCAGGTTGAATTTTACAACCTTAATAACTGAGTTCTAATGCAGATAATGTCATTATCCCAGTTAAGTTCTAATTCTTCAGTTTATTTTTCAGAAATGCCTCATGCTTTATCTTTGCCCAGTCTTTGAATGAGACAACTTACGTTTTCTGTCTCTGTCTGAGTTAACAGGCTAACATACAAGATTTGTATTTGTCTCGTAGGAGAAAAAGGCAGTCTGTTGGCATTAGATAATGCCTTTCAGCTGAGAATCTCAAAATTTATTCCAAGTTGAATTAAAATTTTACCCCACAGCCAATTGCAGAAAGAGGGGTTTTATGAGATTAATGTTCTATCATGATTTAAAAAAAATAATAATGGTAATAAGAGATCATTTTTTCAGATATGGGAGCTATGCTCAAATATTTCAGTTTCTGCAGGGTCAGCAAAACCCACAGGCCCAAGCTAATCATGGGTTTACAGTTATATCCTTCAGAAAAGTTTCTCCTATTTAAGACTGACTTCACTTATTGACACAGGTGATATGCAGAAAGACTTCAAAACCTGTCTTGCATTTATGCTTCAAGAATACTCAGTTTTGCAAATTACACTGGACTGCAGCACCTTCAGATCGTGTTCACTTTTCAGGTTTCCAGAGTCATAATTATATTTCAAATAAAATTATAAACTTGGGATTTTTCTCATTATAAATTGTATCCATTCTAAGAGCAAGAAACAAAAATCGTTATGACTCAACGCTACTATGAATTTTAATTGCAATTCATTTGTACCTCTGTGAAAATGAGTAACCACGTTACTTTTACACTGATGTTTATGTTGGCATATTCATAAAGCTAATCTAATCACTAATGTGATTTTTACAAAAACACTTGATCAAGGAAACACTCTGTGATTTTTCTGTGCTTTTTGTTAGATGCTTAAAAAATAAGGAATTCTCATATACATCTTACAGTAAACAAATCCTATTATATAGTTTAGATAATTTTTTTTTATTCTTGCATGAAAGGCTCTCAAAGTATGAAACAACCCAAAGGATATATAACCATCCTTTTCTATTTAAACCCTGTCAAGAGATTAAAAGGGGAAGCATGCACAGCTAGAAATTCTGAGTAATGACAAGGTATGTCACTCATTAATGGGGATTTGTAGAACAGTTCTGATTATTGGCAATTCATGATACTTCAGATTCCTTTCTCGTAATTTGTAATGTATTTGTCTTATTCTCATAGAATGTGGTAACATTTTCCTTGTCTAAAATGCAGAGCACATATGAGCTTTTTTTCTAATCTTGGTTATTAAGGTAGGAAAGCCAACATCCATACAAAAGGAGGTTTTCAACATTTCTATTATTTTATTCTGTTGCAATCTTTAATCTAAAACAAATCATCAGTAGAAATATGCAAAATATTACCTGAAACTTCCTGTATAAAATGCTAAATCTGCTTATTTGTGTCAAGTTAGAATAACAGCATTAAGGTAGTACTGTTTGCACAGGAAGGCTCCCTTGGCTCTCCTTAAATCATAATTAAATCAGGATTGAAAACCTAAGCAGGACAGGTTAATCTATTCAAGATATGTGAGTTCCTGTAAATTCCTTTTCTAATGTGTCGAGTTTTTCTGATGTGCCTTTGGACATCCACATACATTTAAAGCATGCATTATTTTTAAAAGTAGATTTTGTGTCAGTTAAGTTG